GCCATCTAATCCCTTGTTCTGAAACTATTAAAACCTGCCATGAKAATTTTTCATCTATTAAACAAAGAAACTTTAACACTCCTTCTCTGAGGAGTGAGAAATGCAACAGGCTGAAGCACAACCTCTGTGAGATTTTTTCATTACTGGAAGTCCTTTGAACAAGACACTATTTGCCATAATAAAAATCACTATATGTTTTCACTAGAATTTAAAATTATATAATTGATTGACATGTATTTATAATAAATAATATCTAATAACATTAAATAATATATAATTGAAAATGCTTATAGTTATCACTGCTTCACAGAAAGTTGCACACCATTACTGTACTTTTTAAAAGAAGCAACCAACCTGTGGACATGGTTTTAAATGTAGCAACTTACAGGTTTCTCCTTCCTAAACTGGCAAAATATCTACAAGACTATTATTAATAATATCCCTTGACACTTTGCATGTGGAGTAATGAAATATGAATGCAACTATATAGTTCATTCAGATCAGGAAAATTTTATATTTCTTGCACTGTACAATGTTATTTCCATTATATACCAGATACTATGAAAATTGAAACATACMTGATTGTGGGGAATTCTCATGCTGTGACAATGAAATCCATGGTCCACCAGCTAAATTTTGTGTTCAGCCTTTGAAGTAGTGACTTTCCTGTCGTACCATCCAAGCTCTCACAGTCAAAGCCCTCTCCATAATTCACAGAAGGAAGGGATCTTAAAATTACCTACTGGAAGGGATGGGATCTTAAAATTACCTACTTCCAACCCCTCCATTGTAGGCAGGGACACCTTCCATTGGATCAGGCTGCTCAAAGGCTCATCCAGTGTGGCTTTGAACACTTCCAGGGATGGGGCATCCACAGCTTCTCTGGGCACCCTGTCCCAGTGCTTCACCACCCTCACAGTGAAGAATTYCTTCTTAATATGGAGTTCTCACTTCTGTCTCACCCTACAGTTACATGAACTTCAGTGGTTTTCGTAGCTGAGACTTCACCTGAAGCAAACTTGCTCCATGATTTTAACTGAGGTTAATGTTTGAAACTGAAAGTTCTAAGTGGTTAGAACAATGAAGTGAACAACTCACATTCACCCAAAAATACTAATAAATTGTAGTAGAAGTTTCTGTAATATACATTTAACTTAATTCTCCACAAAAGCTTGTTTTTTCACCTGTATCATGAACAGACAACATTCCTATCATGCAGAAATTATTACTGTATATGAGAATATGGTTATTCTAAGACTCGGACTGGGTCCACAGTGAGTAATAGATTTTTAGCTTACTCATGTTTAAGAAGTCTTTGCAAAATTCATCTAGTTTCCCAGCCACAAAATATGTATATTTTATACTTTCTTTACCCTTCTTCTTCTAGAGGTAATTTCATTTAGTGGGCTTTAAATGAAGGATTCATAGTAATTTGTAATCTATTCCTAGGCAATTTTGCTTAAAGCACAATGATAAAAGCTTTGTCATTTTTGTAAAAGGTTTTACTAATGAAAGTAACAACAGTTGTCACCAGTGTCTCTGGATTATCTCCTTTTAATGAGTTGATTCCGGGTGTCTTACMCAATTTCAACTACTCCAGAAAGTAAGTAAACATACTCTGCACACTGCTAAAAGTTAGGCAGCTGATCTTGGTATAAGATCCCGTTTTTGTGGTAGCTGACCCTTGATCGAGGTCTCACCTAAGCTGCATTTTTTAATGTGACAACACTTCACACGAACGGTAAAAACTGCAGTGCATTCCACTGTTTGCTGTTTGTTTCTGAACCAGCTCTGCAGTTCTTCTATTGCAGCAGGAAGTTTATTGCCACAGAAGCCTCAGTGAAAAACCACACAACTGAGCTTCTGTAGGGCAAAAGTCATGCCTTTTAGCACCACCACGACCAATTTTGGTACAGACAACCCTGAAGCAAAGAAACTGCCACAGCTTTTAGACTTTAATGAGGCTGTCGGCAAATGCATAGCAGATACTTTGTTCAGAGAGCTCTGCAAACCAAGGACCTAATGCAGCCTCAGAGTGTTATGGGTTGAAGAATTTTTTTTAGGGGAAAAACTGTCTAGTGAAACACAAACTCCRTTTCCAGGCAAGGTTGCTCCATGCTGAAGACAACATTTTTTGTGTCTTGATAATGAAATCATTATTTGAAATACAGTTATCCCTAATGTAATTTGCAGGATATTCATCATCAAGATTACAATTTTTGCTTTTTTTGAACCTCAAGTGTCCCTGAATACATGAAATCATCTATCCCAAGTCTGCGCCCCCAAAGTCCTTCCTACATTGAGGTGAATTAAGCTTGCAAAGCCCACTCATGAAGGTTCAGATATTCTCTCCAGAACCTTCAAGAGATGCTGAGAACCAGTCTCCCATGACATCATTTTATTTCTGCTCTGAACCTCAGAGAAGGATACAGAGACAGGTCTGGGTGAATGTGGAGGACCAGCATTGTTCCTCAATTTCAGTCATGCTCAGCTCTCGCCAATTCCTTTCAGTTCTGGGTTTAGGGATTTTATCTATTTTCTCTATTCCAAACTACCTGTATTAATTATTGTCTACAYAGACTCTGGAATGACCAGATCAAGAATATTCATCTTTTCTGGTGCAGTGAGATTTCCTTTAAAAACTTTGCATGCTTAAGTGCCACAAGACACAGATGACAAAGTTCTCTTGGGTACAGGTAAAAAACAGCTGTAGGAATAATGTGTTCTGGTTGCTTTTCCAGGGTCTCTCCACTCCTGTCTGAAGTAGGACTGGTCAGGATGCTGAGACCAAATAATGATCTCAAACCTGCTGGTGTCACAGTGGATTACAAAATTGAAGTGTATCAAACAACCAGACACCCACAAGCAGCTTGAAGCACCAAAATTACCACTTGTTGAGCACAGCTCACAGAGAACATTTATTTATGCAGTCCTCAGGCATAAAACAAGACTATTTCTTCACTATTTTTCTACTTTAATTGCCTAATTTGTTACTGTTGAATTCCTGGAGCTCTGCACTTCAATGTACAACAAAGAGTACCAGTATATTATCAAAATTCACTAAAGTACTTGCAAGTGAAATAATTGTTCCTAGCTGGCATTTTAACCAACTGATTTTACATCATTGTATGTAGAACCAACTAGATTTGCCTAAAAGAGGAAAATTTAATAATTGCAACAACTACCTCATTACTGAAATTATAGCAAAGATCACCTGGCTTATCAGGATGGTTAAAAATGTGATAATTGCTTTTTCCAGTGCGATATATTTACAGAAGTGTGACTGAAAAGAGCTAGATTTTTTTTTAAGGAAAGAAATAGTTTTTAATAAAATAGGCAATTTTCTGCTTCTTTAGAAATGAGCACCGAATTGGCAAATCGAAGAGCATTGGCTAACTAAACAATATTCCTGAYGTCTTTAGTAATTAAGCACTGCGATTACTGAAGAAAGTATAACACCTCCTTTTAATTCACCTCTCAGATAAATGTTTCGTAAGAAATTCTAGCTCTTGCTGCCTTCTTTTAAACACTCTTACAGTTGCCCAATCTAATTGAAAAAATAGAGGGGAGGGGGCTTGCATAGATTTTGTTGGTTTTCTTTTTAATCTTGATTTGTCTAATCTGAATTGCTTTTTTTCTTTTTTGCCAAGATTTTTTTTATTAAGTTTCTGTCATTAAAAACRAAGTTCAAATTGCACTGATATTTTAATGCACTAGGTGGCATAATGATATTCATATTAGAGCAAATTAAACGTTTCACCATCACCCAGATACTTAGCTGACTAAAAGAMGCCACCCTTTCTGCCAGATAAGAATTTCTATGATAACTTTTGCAGTTATGGGATTGCTAATACTTCTAGCTCTCTTTTGTGTCCCTTGGAAAAGTACTTAAAATTTTGAAAGAAATAAACCATTTATATTCAAAGATTATTTAAGAATTGAAAGTCCTTGAAGACATGGATTTTGGTTAAAAATCCTTCAAACCCTGCTACAATCCTGATGGTGATCAAGTTTTCCTAAGCAATTCTACTTGTGGCCAACATTAAAGCGGATCAAAGAAATGTGAGCTTGAGAGAGTTCACTTTTTCTAGGACTCCTGTTCCATCAGCTTTGATAAGGGCCATATTAAACACATGTTGACACTGCCAGGAACTGGACCGGGTGAACCGGGTGACTTGAATCAATCTTTTTCATTTCTAACTCTATTAACTCCACAATTATAGCGGACATAATGAAAGATCCTTTTAGACTGATTCTGGTGTCAGTCTGAACCAGCATTATGTCAAAAAAAATTTAAGTCATCTTCATTTACTGTAAACTCAGAGATGAGCTTTTGTCTGCAGGTGTTCTGTCATAGTTTGCTTGAATTCGGGGCAGTAAATTACAAGAGTCGTCAATGTAAAGASGCAGCGAAATAATTTATCATTAACTTGAAGAGGCCATTATTCAACTGGGGAAGATGACTATTTTATGAAATACAAAGGATGAGATCATGATTTAGTGGCCAGAAGTGTTCATTTTCCAAAACATAGCAGTATGCAGTGAATGTGAGAAAGGAAAGGAACCTAAAAAGTTGATACAATTTTATCTGGATAATGTTTTTATGTTGGCCATCACAGTTAAAATTGGCTTTTATGAAAGCTGCTGCTGATTAGCAGACACATTTTTTGATTGACTAATGACTGTGTCTGTCCCACTCCTTTCTGCACAACTACAATTCTTTCRAGATGCAGCTCTGCCACAAGCAGGAGCCCTATCAGAGCATGAGGAAAAGATTTAAAGGGGTATAAAGTGTGTCTTTTAAGGACATTTGTGCAAAGATAATAGGATCATGGTATTGCTGGGACTAATTTTGTGAAGACTGAAGATGCGTTCAGCTCAGAAAAGGTGAGCATAGTAGGTAACACAATATCAAACCCCATCAAATTATCAGTTCCTAGAAGTGCTTAAAGACAGGGCTTCTGTATTTTGACATTTATTAAGGAATACTGAAGTCCTACCTTTTCCAGCTGGTGTATTCCTTCCTCTACACAGCAAATTGATGCCAGTGTTCTCAGTGCCTGGGGATAAAGGCACCTGAAACAATCCTGGCGACAGATCTTAAAGAGAGCAACGACACCTCCTTCCTGTAGAGAAAACACCAAAATTAGGAAAGTGGTACTGGAGCTTTCCCTGGTACTTCAGCAAGATTGGGATGGGGGGCAGATTCCTTTAGTAGTTTATCCAAAATAAGTATCAATGCAACAGCAACAAAAAGGATGTTAAGCTCACACAGAGAACTCAAGTGGATTTATGCTTGTACACTAAGTGATGATAAAGTAAAACAACCTCAGTAGGAGGTGTGCTTAAGTGATTGCCTTCTACCAGTTACAAGCTCCATCTAAATTAAACCTGACATTCCTGCAAAAATTACAAATAGTCATTGACAGGKGGCAATTAGAGTGACACTTAAGTGATTGTTCAGCCATATTTTATTAGTATAAAAGATATTTTTGATATCATATATTTCCCATTCCTCTAAATTTCTGAGCTCTACACGATATTTACTTAATGCTAAAATTATGAATTAGAAGATCACATGGTTGAAGAGCTACTGAAAGTTAGGAGTAAATAGGTGTCAAATTCTAAACTGGCACAATCTATATCTTCATTCTCTAATAAATACAATTTGCATTTCTAAAAGATTTTCTTTAAGTACAATAATGACAAAGACTTGAGCATATGCTAGAAAAGTTATCCTTAATTAATTTCCAGCAAACATTGTAAACATATCTTTTAGTAAAGTTCTTATAACAAATGGAAATACATAAATAAATACCAACAATTGTTGCGTGCAATGGGTTTTTTAAATCATTTTTCATTTCAAAATGTTGTGTTATCAGGGAGACTACAGATTTCTTATATAAAGTAAAAGCAGACATATGATGAAAAGGAAAGCATTTAAATTATTGATGACTGATGAAAGAACTCAGAATAAAGTATTCATATTCCAGTTAATTAAAAATAATGGAAGTCATGAACCAAGTGTAAAATACACCTTTTTTTAAAGCCTTTGAAGCAGACTGTTTGAAATATTTTTAGATTCACAGAAATAACCTATTCTTTTCCTCAAGAATTTGTGTTACTTGCAAGCTCAACAGGTTATACTGACTTAAAACTTCTGTGTTACAATTCAGACTTCACTCATTGTCAGAATTCTTTATTTTTGTACTGGTTCTGCTTGAATACAGTAGAGAATAATAGAGCGAGCCAAACCCTCTGTTCAGTCTAACAAAAAATTTATAGCAATTTATATAGAATTAGACAAAATTAACTGTTCAATATATTTTCCAWATAGAAGTTTTATATCATATCTTTTTATTTTCACATGCAATTTCTGCAGCATCAGTGAAAACAAATAGGCTTTCTGAAGTTTGCTGAGAGTAAAACTTATTTCTGGAATTGTAAGACGTGTTCATGTGTCTGTACAAGTCATTTTATATCTGGTACTGCTATATTTAGCCTATTGCAGAAAGGCATTTCTGAGCCTTTAAATTAAAAAAGAGGCAGTACATTAACAAAAAAGTTCCAGTCGTATTTTTCCTTCTACAAAAGGATACTGACATTTCACCCAAGCAATAATGAAATCACCTATCAAAAATATAAGTATCGGAAGAAAAGCTGTTGCCCTGTCATTCCAAGCCAAAGGTAACTGTTTTGTTGGGGATTTTTAATATTTAATTATAAAATTGAAATTTTTCCACAGTTCAGTGGAATCAGGGATGATCTGATCCTCTGCTTTAGCCATAATAAGCAGAAGTTTGTGGATAACTCTAGTAAAGCTCAAGTGATGTTGGCACATTTTCTTCAAGCCTTTTCTATGCCAAATGGGTGCCCTGATTTTGCCTCTGATGGACAGGAAGTGATTTATCCCTGCATTTGTCAGGAGATGATCTGTACTCTTTATTTTGTGYGTCATGTGCCATTACTAAGCTGTAAAACATTGACCATGAGTAATGAACCGAGAGTTCTGTAAGTGAAATATTGGATGGGTAGTAAACACTGAGCCTCATTCCATGGCCTGTCAAAACCAGTCCCCTCACTTGAATGGGAGCATTTCTCTGAATTTATTTGCCTCTTTCAATATTCATCCCCTGTATCTTTTGCAGTGATGCCAAACCTTTCTACCTGACAGGGATGTACCTAATTTGATCATGTGGATAAAAATACAGAGAAAAGAGGGGCACTTGCTTTACCACTTGATGACCTACTTCTCTCCTATGTTGGRTTAACAGGAATTCAGTTTTGTGGGGTGCTGTTCAGAAAGGTTGGGTGTAGGTAGCAAAATCACCTGAAATACAGTCACCAAAAGGATGTAAATTGAGCAAATAGAGGGGAAGGAAAACACTTTTAACTCTAAGGTGGAGTATTTTGCAGTTTCAGCCCGAGGTGACTCCAAGTGCAGTAAATTCTCATCAAGACTTTGACAACATTTATAATTATCTTGATAGATGATCTCTAAAGAGATCTTTATCATAAATACTTGTTAGAAAGGAGCTGGCATAAAAAGAAGATAAGGAAAGATGAATTAGATACATTCTCAGAGAAAGTGATCTGCTGTACAGCCATAAGGAACTCTGTCACATATTCTCCAAAGAGGGTATTAGGCAGGTATGAATATCTTCATTTTTGCTTCTTTCTCTTTTACAAGCCTATTGTCACAGCTCTCAGTTCAATACAGCTGGTATTAGACTCTATCATCAGTGAAATGGATTTTTCCAAAAATACTATTTTCYTTATCACTCTGTGGCATACTTATTGTAACTCAGAAACATATTTTTACCAATTCTTCTGGTTGTTACAAATCGAATCTATTTAGACCCCTTTTGCTCCAAGTAAGGCTAATTTTTTTATCATGTCTTTGCAACTACTCATTTTTGTTAGAGACCTTAGGCTTTATGTCTCTGACAGCTAGTGAGAACTACTAGCTGGCTGCTAGGGTGAGTCAGCAACGTGACTTTTTCATGGCACATTACAAAGTTGCATGCTAAAAAAGAAAGTGTCAAAGAATGCCTGTAGGTGGAATAAAATTACAGGTGATGTCTCAGTGTAGAGGGGAGCATTTCATAGCCTTTTTTTAATTTCTGTAAAATATTAGCAGGGGATGGGGTGAAGGAGACAGAAGACTGAAACTCTTACCAAAATGTAAAATGAGAGACCTGTAAAATGGAGCTCCTGTAATATTGTAGCTCTACAATATGATCATGGTTCTTTTACTTTGCACAAATAAAATATTGGTATGCTTTAGAGTAGTAATTTACAGCTTGGACAGGAAAGAAACTAACAGCAATGTTCCACAAGATCACACTTTGTCATGACGAGTAAGACTTCAAGGTTACATGAACAAATKTGTTGAGTTTTGCTTTCACAGTAAACATGTATTCAACCTCTCTGACTGGTTTTATCAAGGATACTATGACAGCTCTCAGGGGAACTACAGATTCTGTAAAAGATTTAGAGATCTTTGCGTTACTTCAATCCTTTTTCAACTTCATAATGAGTAAGAACAATTTCAGATTTTTTTTAGTTTTTTTTTTTAATCACCTTGATTTTTTTCTGTTGTAGCTAAGTAAAACCAGGGGCCCTCTCTTCCTTTCCACTTCAGAGACTGTCACAAATGAAACTTGAATTACAGCATGAGCAGAATATCATCTGTTATCTGGTCAAAAACTGGAAATGCCAGAAAGTCTACAAACAATTTTTAAAAGCATATTTTATTCATATTGGTAGCTTTTGGAAAGGTGCAAGTTAATCTCCAAAGCAAGCAAAGCTCAGTGTTGTTATGTTTCTTTGTCTCAACAGAACTCTTTATCCATTTGATCAATCTGAAATTCTGGTGTGTTACAATCCATCTGCCCCTTTAGTCACTGATGCAGGTAACTGAGGCAATCCAGAGGGGGAAGGATAACGGTGAGTCTGGACAAATGCACTTCCCAGTGCACAGGACAGACAGAGGAATAGGACAGGTGATGCAATCACCACTGCAATTTGGCAGCCAAACACCACTTAGGGTTCTTTGCATAAGGGGATGCATTTCCTCAGTTGTAAACCTGTGACACACCCAGGTTTTAACAATGTATTAGTTCAGTGATTTATGAAAGATCAGGCTTCACTTCTGCTAAATTAAACTGTTATGGAAGTCATAAAATTATAAAAAGCCCAAGACCAATTTTCTTTAATTTGTCAATTCTGCACTTCCTCCATACTCAACATTTTAACATTGTTTTTGGGTACCACTAAGTGGAGCTCAAATACCAATTTAGTAAAAAACTAAGCCTGTCAGGCTGTTGCCAGATCCCAGTACAGGTTTCTGAGTCTGCCTCATTCTGAGCCTTCAGAACACAGGAGTACCTTTTGTGATGTAATATACATCTAAAGGCCCACCAGGAGTAAAAGTAATTAATTGCTGCTGTCTAACCCTTTCTCTGAGTAGGACAAGGAACTGGCACAGCAACCCCAGGCAGAAGCTTGGGGAGGAAGGTTTTCTTCTTTCTTCATGCCCTATGGTTGTGATTATACTATCCTCAACAAGACACCATGTCACACCTTTCTCACATGCTCAGGATCCAGGTGTCCTCAGAGGTGCAAACTCGGCAGGGATTTCCAGTATCACAAGTCTTTGCAGAATGACTCATTTACTCCAAAAGTTAGCACCAAATACTCAGTAAATGAGAACACACACTAACAGAAGTAACTGCAGTGATGCAATTTAGAAAATGATACTTAAAAAAAAAAAACCTATTAAATGTAAATATTAAAAAATACTATCAGGAAAGACACTAAGAAAGTTCTGAAAATGATGAAGAAAGTGTTAATACTCAGCTGGCACAAAGACCACTGCAATTGAAGCTCTTCTCAGAAGCTTGTTGGAGCTTTCCATCCTACTGAAGTTGTTTGCTCAGGTATTGAGCTTTATTAAATTAAAGATTGAGTGGCTTYAGCCCTTTAAAAAAAATCCCTCTAACATGATAGCTGTGTTGATAAACTCTGTAGAATAAGACTTGCAAAAGGAGCACAAGAAGGGAAAACAACAGGTTTTTTGTTGTTAACAGTTAAATTTTGTTGCTCTTCAGTGAAGTCTATTTCTACCACTGCTAGTTTGCTTTGGATTACCCCAGAYATCCCTTACCTTGGCTATGATACGGCAGAGATGAGCACCTTCCTGGGCAAGGCTGAATAAACCACTGATTGCCGACTCCATGACATACGGACTGCCCGAGAGTTCTATCTGTCTCAGCAGGTTCTGGGGGATACAGGACAAAATCTTGGAGCAGTCAGACTGATAACCCTCTAACACACTTATCAGTGCATTTGAGTAGATGCAACCAAAGATAGTGATATTTATAAATAAATATTAACAGAGTAAGACAATGGGCACACGTGTGAGAATGTTCAACGTAGAACTCTTTGGCAATTTAGTAAATTACTATAGCTTTTGGTCTGGGATTGAATCAGAATTTTCAAAAATCAAATAATTTAGCTTACTGTAGAAGCTGAATCACACAGTGATACAAGATTTCCACCTTATTTATAAGGAATATTGCTGCACCATTTTTTACATTGCCTTCTAGGGCTCTAGGTTCATCACTCTGTSAGATAAAATGTCTTTGACCAATAGAGAAAATTCTTATCAAGAAATATAATTTATTTCTCCAATGTATGAAATACATTAAATACTATTATCTTTGTAAATAATTATATTGTGCATTTGTGCATTTGTGTCATTGCAGCTTTACGGAAACACAGCTGTGAGAAGAACATGGAGTCTATTTCATTTTACTATTTCTGAAAAAAGCCACAATATCACTAGAATAATTAATTCTATTTGCTAGGAGGAGGAAGGTAAGCATTTTTGTATTTAATCCAACTTTGAAAGAAATGCAAGGAAGTATACCACATTTTTCACTGTTATTTATATAAAATTCAATTACCTTCCCTTTAAGGGTCTCTGTTCTTCCACATTTAGCATGACAAAAGTGTTCCATAAAAGACACAGCTTAAGAGTTCACATTTTGATTTGAACCTATCCTGAATTAAATCCAGACACTCTGATTAGGAAAAAAAAAAAAAGCTTTTTGCACAATTTAATCTGAAACCTCTCACACAGACAGTCTGCTTCAGAGCAGCAAACTACCCCCAGACACTGTTTTTATGGCACAAGTGGGCACATAGCCTGACCGACTGGCTCAGAAAGTTGTTCATAAAACTGTTTTTATTAATGACTTTTAATCCAAGTGCTTCAGCCACACAAATACACACAAGATGATGTGGACCAAATAATTCCACTCCCTTAAAAGAAAAAAGGACAAGGATTTCAGGTATGTCAGTAGGTGCCAAGATGCCCAAAGGCAGAAATATCAGCAGTGAAGAACTGGTCTTCAGACTGCAAAGAATAAGTACCTTAACAATGGCAACCTACTCACTGAATTTGAAATGTGCAGAATTATTTACACACTTCATACATTTCATGTAGCTCTCATAAATCCTAAACAAAGAAAGTAGCTTGCTAATTTGATAGCAATTCTGCAAATGTATCTTGGAGATTCTTACCTCCTAGTAACAATCTTTAAAACTAGAAAAGACATTCCTGAAACAACCACAACTTTTTTTTTCCATCTTAATGCATCACAGTATGTTAGAGCTTGACCAATACCATGCACACATTTTGTATAAACACATAGCAAATATAATTTAACTGTTTCATCTTCATTAAACCTCTCATTTCTTCTTTTTCTGCAGGAACAACATAAAATTTCAGCATAACATCACCTCTAAAACATGGACAAATTAATTGAACAGAATTACATTTGAGGAAGACTAGAGCATTCAAAGGGATTTCTACTGAGAAAGAAAGAAAACAGTGCAAGTCAATATAGGTTGGCTAGACTTGCAAGTTGCTTCTACTTCAGTAATGACCTAATGGAAAAAAATAATGCATTTGCAGCCTCAGAGTAATAACTCAGTGCATTTCACAGAATCAGAATCACAGAGCAAGTAAGGCTTGAAGGGACACGAAGACATCATTTAGATGTCTTGCAAGAAAGAGCAATCAGGAAAGGTAAGTAACTTGGTGAGCCACAAGCTCATTTTATTTGGGGTTTGAGGTTTGGATAATAAAAACACCTAAATCTCATAGMAATTTATTAGAGTTACTGATCATAAATTTGTTGAAAATTGAGAGCTGTAATTTTAATCCTCCTCTTWATTATAGAATGGCTCAGGTTGGAAGGGTCCTTAACTATCATCTAGTTCCATGAGCAGGGACACCTTTCACTAGACCATGTTGCTCTGAGTCCCATCCAACCCAGCCTTGGACCCTCGATGGATGTCTCCCTCAAGATTCAACCAATTTGGAATTTTTTTTTTTTGTTTGTTCTGGGTTTTTTTGGTTTTTTTCTTACTATAAACTAACCTGTGCTTCATGTGTTAAAACCATCTCTATCAACTGGCCAAAATACTGGGCAACAGTAGTGAGTGTTTTATTAATACAAGAATTCATGGATTCCAGTATCTCTTCATCTTCAGTCTGTAAGCACCTGAAAAGAAAGAGAAAGGAAAAGGATGAAGGAAAAAAAAAAAAAAATGCAACAGTCTTGATTGTCAGAGGTGAGGTCTGTGTCAGTAATAGTCTAGAAAGGGAATTCAGCTGTTCACAAGGACTTTGTGCCATTTGCGTCATTCAGACTTTAATAAAAGCTTTGTCTAAAGCTTTGTCATGGTAAATACCCCATGAAAGGATAATGCTGCTACAGTGGACACTACTGAATAATTTAGAGATCACAATTTATTTCATAGACTGCAGGCCAAATTTTACTGCAGATGTTTTGTGTCTGTAGAGTGTCACACTTCTCTTTCCCACTTATGCTGATAGTTCCACTGCAACTGTGCATACTCATCCATCTTTCATGATCAGTGAAAGGCTTCCAGTAATTCTTCTTCCTTTACCTTCTTTGTCATATCTTAATGAAAGTAGGATAAGGATGAAGAAAGAAATATGCGTCCAGAGGAGTTAAACAAYTTAATAAAAAATAAAATTTGGCCCTCTATGCAGACATACATAAAGCATCTGTGCAGAGTTAGTTTAGTTATCCTGTAACCAATGATGCTTGGCTATAATTGAAGAAATGAGAAAAGATGGAAAACTTTATTCAATTCAAATAAAATAATTAATACTTCCTCTCAGAAATGCATTCATTTGAATTATCAGAACATATGTTACCCAGGCAGGTCACAAATAATGGAAGATATAGTTTGGTTGATCAGCCTCTCTACCTACATACAGGTTACCTGTCTGTCAGCCACCTATATCAATTTTTTGTCAAAAAGACAAGAATGGAGAGAGCTGATTTGGGGAAGACTCTTTGAGATTGGAGCTCTTATTAAATCAGTGTGTCCCATAGTAGAATATAAAAGTAAAGTCTGTGTGGGTTTGACAAAAAGCAATAGTGCTCAAAATATATGTTATTTCCTGATAATTAGATGGTGTGTTTTTTCCTGATGATCCTCCCAGAACAGAATGGCTTTCACATTGTTTGAAGTAAATCAATAAAAGTGATTGAACCATACTGGAGGAAATGGGTAACTTATGTTAGAATGTAGAACTATCTCATGAAAAGAACTACAGAGATTTTTATTTTCCAGTCTCAACACTCCAGAGTGCAGGGAGATGAGTAAGCCTATCACTACAATTTAGAGGAATGTAGTTATTTAGGTTTGATTTACAATAAATGGATATGTTCATACAGGAGCACATAGTACGACAGTCTCACAACCCAAGTTTTCACACCAGCTGAAATCTTGGCAGCACAGAACTAGAAGGGATCATTTTCACTCATATCATTAGAGCCAGACTTTTCCTTTGGTATCTAAAAGTCCTGAAAAATCCACTTGCATGTAGCTTTGCATCTGTGTCAGACTTTTTGTGCTACAGCAGATCCCATCCTTCATTAGGATCCAGTTTAGGTAAAAGCAACTCATTTCACCCACCAGAGATTAATATTAAGAACTTTAATATGTATGTAGCAGAGCTACAGGGGCCTAGTTCAAACAATTGAGAATGCTCAGGGATTTCTGCTTCTCATTGGAAGTTCGACAACTTAATAAAACAGCAAAATTGACATTTCAACTACAAAATTTAAGTTACCTTTCTGTGAATGCTGTAAATTCTGAACACTTGTCTATTAAAAGTTTTTCAAGCTGCAGAGATAGAAAGAGAAAGTACTTTTAAAGAAAAACCCATTCACACAATTGCCTTACAAAAATAAGTAATGCTTCTTTGTTAATTTAAAAGCCTCCCAGAATACAGTATTTCATATGAACACCCTTCATCTGCTTTTTTGAATAAAACAAGTAGAAATAAATCTGAGATTAATAAAAAAGTAACGTTTTCTACATTTTAAATGCAAAGGATCTCACAGATGGGGTGTCAAAATACTTTAGTCCAGTAGTCTTCAAAAACAAAACATTTTTTCAATGSAATTTGTTCACATTATTAACATTCAGAATCAAGCCTATAATAAAATAGGATGCAAAATAAGAATATTTCCACTACTGAAAAGGGATTGGAAAATCTTAAACAAGGGACCAGCATCAGCACACAAGAATTTCTCACAGATTGTTGCAAGTTATAATTATAACAATAAAATAAAAATTCGAAAAGTGAGAGAAGCATGACACCAGATAAGGCATCYTCTCACCTGGTGCATTTCCTCTGAGGCATTCCTGGTGAAGGTGTTGTACTCATTGATCATAGAACGCACGTGGCAGTTGACTCTCACGGTCATGCTGTGAACCCTCTGCCATCTGCCCTTCTCCAGCTTCTGAGCAATCCTGGTCAGTTCTGTGCTTATGATCCAAGCTCTCTTCAGCAGAAGCTGCAAGTTATCACACGTGCTATATTGTGAGGAAAGGAGGAGTTCATTGTGCTCATCTTTCTCAATGCTGATGGGCTTGGACTGCAGAATGCACATACACTCACAGTCTGTCATCAGCTTCAGGTCTTCCATCCATCGCTGAACCGARTCCACCTGGATTAGGTGCATGCTGGAAGGCAGGGAAAGAGAGGCAAGAATAAGCAACGCAGAACAACCTTGGGATAACCACCAGCAGCACCACACAGCTGCACCCACTGCTTGCAATTAATTGACAAAAGGCAAATAATTGAACAAACAATTTGCTTGTAGTAGCTGAGCAAAATATTTAGCTCTTTWTTCCAAAAAGAGGTTCTGGATTTCTAATCACTTCTACACCCTGTACCCCACTATAAAATTATATCTGAACAATCAGTGGATAATCATATACATAATATATCCRCAAATAATAATATTAGAGATAAGTAAACAGATGTCTAGAGTGTTTTTGGGGTAAAATGTTTTTTGTACGTTCAGAGTTTAATGTAGAGAAGGAACAAAGCTATGAATATGTTTGCTTATTGTTTATGGGACTGTCAGGTTTTTCCAGACACTTGGCCTGTCAGGTGCTTAACAGAAAATTTTACCTGGCAGCATCTCTCCAAAGCCCTTCCAAACTTACACAGCTAAACCAAAACAGTGAACAATATTGCCAGTAATATCTATTTGTTCCATGTCATTGTCCCTTAAACCAGAGCTGGATTCTACTTCCTGACCAGCTCTTTACCTTCCCTGTTATTTCTCATTGCACACTGACTTCCAAAGCACATTTTTTATGCTACAGCTGTGTGATGTGAACCAGAAAGGCTGAAAAGCTCCCTGACATAAGGGCAATGAGCCGGCATTTTGTGCCTCTGCACCCTCCAACCAATAAAATGTGCAACCTGAAGCAGAAGCTGCACTGATTGTGGGCTCATCTTTTTGTGGAATCACAAATTTCACTGTCTTGAGATGAAGAAGCCTAATTTCTTTTCTTATAAGGTGCCCAGACCCTCATAAAAATACCTTAATCTTCACCCCAACCATGCTAAATGTTCCCAAAGGATTGAAGATGAAAGGTAAAGAAGAAATTAGATTCAGTGAATAAAAGAGAAAATGGATCTAACTATTTTTTTCTAACTTTTGTTGGTATCTTACAGCTAGGCTGACAGTGCAGTGGATTGTTGTCTACTCTCTGGATACCTGTGCAAGTTTTTATGAGACTGTACCAGAAAGGACAAAAAAAAAGTTTGCATCATAGCTCCCATTGTTTTAATTCAGATACTGATTTATTGAAATCAGCAACACAGCAGAAATGCTCTGTGCTGTTATAGAAAGCCTTACTGTTAGAATAAAATCTGCAATTACATTAGCTAAGCTAAGGAGGAGCAGGTGGAAGCCTTTTTCAATTCTTGTGCTTCCATTTATACAGTGAACACCAGATGAGCTCAAGAAATCTCCTGCCAGACCACTCCAGTAATATTCCAAAAATAAACAAAATGTATTTACATACACAGGAAAAGGAGGTTCGCCTCAAGTATCATTTAATATAAATTGACAGCAAACAAGATACAAGAGATCAGTTTCATTGATCCATTCTCCCTTCTCACAATATATGATGAAACTACTTTTAATTTCAAACTTTACAGGCTACTGCTATTTAAGGTCTTTATTTCACTCAGCTCTGAATATTGTGTAATTGCATTGCATGATCGATTGAGGCCCACTTTCTTCTTGCTWTGTGTAGTCTCCTTATTGCCTTTTTGGATCTGAAGCAAGGTTTCCTAATAAACAAAAACAACTTTGGAAGTTTGAGATCATGATTTATGACGATGTGCATAGTTTGCATGCAGAACAGGATAAACTCTTTTGACGCAGAGTAATGTATCATTCATTTCCAAAGTGCACTGTGATAATTGATTAAATCTATGGTTAGTAAGTAGAAATAAACTTCTGCATTATAAGTTCGCATGGACCAAAAACTAGAATAGAAGGTTAGTAAGAGAAAAAAAAAAAAAAAAAAAAAAAAAAAAAAAAAACAACAAAAAAAACCCTGAAAATGAAAAACTCATTCGGATTTCCTTTAGTCCCAAAAGACATTCTTCACTCCAAAGAGAAAAAAGATGATGAGTTTTACAAAAGAAAAAAAAAAGTACAGATGTTAAAGAAACTCTCATTTGCTTCTGTTCTACTAATTGCCAGAAGTACAACTGTAGAAGGYAGGATATTCTTTCACTGAAACTCCGTATTTCTTAACTGACAACAAGAGCAAAAAATAATACTATTCATGTCCTTCCAGAGAAATACAGAAAACACCCTCTCCTTACTATGTCAGCTTTTCTGACACATGGTCCTTTAAATTAGATGTACATCATTATCACTCAAATAAGACACATAAATGGTTCACATTCATCCAAATCACACTGTATTTAAAGAAAGTCTTCTTAAGCATTCCACAGAAGATTTTGTAGGCTCATTTCTTACATATTAAAACAAGGAAAGCAAAAAGTATGATCATCCCTAATTAGCTATTAAGAATCATATTCCAGACAGCATTTACTGAACTCAAAAAACAAGATGGAAATTTCCATTTTGTCTCCCCATTACTGAAAAAAAATACCTACGCCTACAAAATAAAAAGAACCATAATGGTTCAGACAAAAAAAAACAAACAAACTCTGTTTAGCCCATTATCCTGGTCCCAACATGCCCATTAGGAGATGCATAAGGAAAGATTATAAGAAGTGTGGAAAGAGCAGAGCAACCCCTCCTTCCCATCTTCTGGCAATTAGTGGTTTAGGAACTTCCCTAGCCAGAAGTTGTGTCTGAGCAGGATGTTTTTACAATTCATGAAACAAAAGTAGCCATTAATCCCTTTTTGAACTCAGTTAAACTTTTGGCCTTTGCAACATCTAGAGGCAGTGTCTCACATTGTTTATTTTTTCTATGAAAAAGTGTTTCTTATTATTTGTTTTAAACTTGCTGCCTGGAGGTATGAACAGAAACACTTTAGTTGCCATATTCTAAGAGATATCWTAAATGAAATGACAGTTCTGTATTTTCCCTCTTCAAGCAATTCATTATTTTATTTGCCCTACCCCAACTTCTCTAGATTGTTTCATTTCCATGGTAGAGAAACTCAGTCTGTCTAGTCTGTCTCCTTATACATATTATTCCAACCCTCTAATCATTCACATACAAGCCCCACCTTTTCGAAAAGCTTTTTCCAGTTTTCCTGTGTCCCAAGATGTGGTGGCAAAGGCAGGACATGAGATACAAGATTCAGGAAAATTYATACTTTTTAAACTCATTTCCTGCACAGTCCTGATTTTCCAACAATTCTTAAATTGAAYTGGTCTTTTACTGAAGCCTTTTCCAGAGAGCTGTCTTATTTTTGCCTTTCTGAAAATACACTTATTTTGATTTCAGAATCTTTTCATGAGATTATGAGTGATAATGTAGAATTYGCTAGTCTACACATGTGATGAAAGAAATTGTACTGGAGCTCCATTTCCCTCTTTACATGCACTACTTTATGTTCTTTAACACACMTTTTGTTCTAGCATTTTACAGTCTCATCTTTTCACACTTTCATAACTATTTTTCAGGTCATTAATACATTAAACAAGATTCGTTTAAGYGTAAGAGACCTTACTGGTGTAATTTTCAATAGTATCAATAATAATTGATCAATAGTATCTGCTTAACTGGCTGAGAGCCTGATGTTTGTGGAATCATAGAATCATTTAGGTTGGAAAAGATTTCTAACACCATTAATTCCAACCACTAACCCAGCACTGCCAGGTCCATCATTAAACCATGCCCTTAAATGCCACATCTACACAGCTTTTAAATAYCTTCAGGGATGGYGACTCAAACACTTCCTGGGGAGTCCATTGCCACACTTGACAACCCTTTCAGTGAAGAAATTTTCCGTAATTTTCAACCTAAACCTCCCCTGGGGCAGTTTGAGACCATTTCTTCTTGTCCTATCCTTGGTTATTTGGGAGAAGAGATCAATCCTCATCTCACTCCATCCTTCTTTGAGGGAGTAATAAAAAGAGATGTGTTCCTCCTCAGCGTCCTTTCCTCCAGGCTAAGCTGCTCCAGCTCCCTCAGCTGCTCCTCACAGGATTTGTGCTCCAGACCATTCCCCAGCTCCATTGCCCTTCTCTGGACATGCTCCAGCCCCTCAATGCCCTTCTTGTTGTGAAGGGCCAGCACCAGACACAGCACCCGAGGTGTGGTCTCACCAGTGCCCAGCACAGGAGGACAATCCCCGCCCTGCTCCTGCTGGACACAATATTTATCCAAACCATGAGCAGCCAGTTTCTCCAGGGGAATGCTATGGAAGGCAGTGTCAAGACCTTTATTGAAGTCCAGGCAGACAGTCAACAGCTACAGCCTTCGCCTCATCCACTGAGTGGGTCACCTTGTCAGAGGAGGAGATCAGGTTGGTCAAGCAGAACCTGCCTTTCCTGAACCCCTGGCTGAACCCCTGGGTGTCCAGGATATGCTGCATGATGGCACTCAGAGCAACCTGCTCTTTGACCATCCTTGGCACTGAGGTGAGGCTGACAGGCCTGTAGCTCCCTGGATTCACCTTCCAGCTCTTCTGGAAGATGGATGTCACATTGGCTAAAAAGCAGCCACCTGTAATCTCTCCATACAGCCAGGCCTGCTGAGAAATGATGGAAAGTGGTTCAGTGAGCACCTCTGCCAGGACCCTCGGTACCTTTGGGTGGATRCCATCCATCCCAGAGACTTGTGTGGTTGTTTCCCCATGAAATATGGGGGCTTCATTCTGTTCCCTGCCCATCTTCCAGCTCAGGGGGTTGAGAAGCTGGAGAACAGCTGCCTTGCTGTTAAAGACTGAGACAAGGAGGCATTGGGTTCCTCAGCCTTTTCCCCATCTTCTGTCACTATGTTTTCTCCCCGCATCCAATAAAGGATGGAGGTTCTCCTTAACCCTCCTCTTGCTGTCAATGCATTCATAGAATCACTTTTCCTTGGTTTTGAGAACAGTAGCCAGATAAATTCTGGCTAGATTCTTCTAATTTCTTTCCCTCAGCAAAACCCCATGGCATCCTTGTAGTTCTCATGAGTTGCTCTCCCTTTATTCCCAGGGTGATAAACTTGTCTTTTTTAATCTGA